TGGACCCCTTGAGCCTTGAGGTCAGATCTCTTGCCCGTTGCTTTGGCGGGTAGAAAGCTCAGGGGTCGGCCTCCAGAGCTGCCAGTGGCCACGGACGGCTTCTGTCTCCTGATGACTTTTCTTCTCTTGTGTTTCCTGATTTGGGTTCTCTCCCTTGGTCACCCTTCTGTCTCATATGCATTTCTGTGACCCACTTTAAACCTCAGAGAGTTTGAGGATGAGCAGGAGGGTGACATGTATTCAGAACCCCGCACGCACACACAGCATCACTTCAGAGTTGCAGAGGAAACCCCGAGTCCCCGCCGCAGAGAGCAATTCAGACCCCAAACCCCGGTCTGTCCACGGAGCTCTCTGGGGCTTGTTTCTCCCAGGCTCTGGATTCTGACAAACAGCTGGTGTTTGTTTGTTTGTTTGTTTTGGTACCAGGGATTGAACCCAGGAGACCTCCCCAATTAAAAAGTCCTCAGATTCGGTGACACTGTTTGGACCTATTGGGCTTGGCCTTGTCTGCCTTCTCGATTGAAATTTAGCTAATTTACAGTTTCCCTGATGTGCTTTGCCGTGTTCTTTCACCATGGATTCGAAATACTAGTGTGTTTCAAGAGTTCAGTGCTCATGGTCTCAAATCATCAGTACTGCAGCCGCCACACAGGAGCAGTTATGTGCTTGAGGCTCAGCAGGCCCGTTTAATTGGCAATGTCTGCCGTTACCAGAAGAGCGGCACCCGCTCTCCACCGGCTTCCTACCGAAGGTCCCGCGTCTCCCTACACTGTTTCTCTATTTCCTGGGGAGATGACAGTTGTGTGAAATGCCATGGGACAGTGTAAGATTGCTGCAGGGTCTGGCCTCCTCCAAGTGCATCTCCGGAGGATGGTCAGGTATTTGGGCGGCAAGGCAGGCGACTCCTTGACACCCTGGCCATGTCTAATTCCACCTCAGAATCCTTCATTCTGAGACAGTCGTCCCCTCTTGGGCTGACCCCCACCATATGTGGAGCTTCTCCTCGTGTGCCTCTTCCCTCTTGTTAACCACTGTGTTATATGGGCTTGTCCAGACCAGGGTTTGGAAACAGGACCCAGACCTACAAATGTGAATTTGAGCATATGGTTAAGGTGCAATGTTTTTGGACATCCTTAAAGGAAAGTGTCTTTGAGAGCAGTACCTTGAACTGTGCTTATTGCAATAAGGAAGTGTATCCCCCAAATGATAAGATACGTTTCATATCACCGAATGATCATCCACTGGAAAATCGTGTAATGCACAACCTTAGAATTGGCACGGGGACTGCTGCCACACATATATGCAGATGCCAAGAACACAGCGTTTGAAGGGGTGCTCTTTGCTAGCACATGTTGAAAGTGGTGTATTGAACACCCCGATCCTCTCATGGTGGGGCCTCTGGGTGGGCCGTCATGGTGCAGGTGGGTTATGAGCCCTGGGGGTGGGGGAGTTCCTCCTGGTGACAGGCACTGCTAGAAGACACGGTGAAGGTGTGGCTGCTGGGCAGTGAGAAAGGGCAGGCTTCCAGAGTGCAGATGTGCAGATGCACTCAGAACACGACTTCCAGATGGATGCATTGCAACTCGGGAATCCTAATAGGGTCAATTCTTTGCTTCTGCAGGAAGTACCCTGAGTTATTACTGGGCACTTCGCATGTACACATCCTGGTTTGCTGGGGAGTGACCACTCTCCAGGGACGTCGTGGTGGGTCAGGATGAGGACCTTGGTGCACACTTTAAACCAGAGCAAGGTGGGCCGGGGATCTTGGTGCCCATCTTTCTTTTCAAAGCGGAGTGGCTGAGCTTTATTTGTGGAGGTGTTCTCCGCACAGGGAGGGCCATGCACCGAGGTGAGGTCACCCAGTGAGGTCTCCATGTGCCTCCTCCTGACTCTTACCTTTGTGTACACTGTCCCCTCCTATGTGAGACTGACAGGCCAGCACCTGCCACCCGGGGCTGTGGTGAGGACCATAGCTGGTAAGCAAGGCCACAGCTGTTAATGCTACTCTGTGGCTGTGAAGATTTCCAAGGGTGCCTGCAAGAGGACATGGCAATGAGAGTAGCTCAGGCCTCGCTGACCTGCATTGGCTGAGCTTCAGATCTGGCGCATCGGTTGACCTAGGTGAGCCTTGCCCCTCTTGGGGTTAGGGTTTCCTTGGAGTTATTATAAAGCCATTTAGGATGGCTTCCTCTAAAACTAAAGCTAAATACAATGGGGGAAGAGGCTATGTATATTTTTTTCATTGCCCTAAAGATACAAACTTTGAAATCAGCATCTGCTGGTCTCATTTGACTATTTGCTAGCATGAAAGCCAGGGTGGGAAATCTTAATGAGCTGAACTGCATTAGGTCATTGTAAAATGAAAACAAAATAATTCTGGTAAGTGTTGCCCCTATTTTAAATATTTACACATATTTTTTGGATAGCTCTGGCAAATGCATTTTAATGACTTATCCTGTCCAGATTAGGCGAGGAGATCTATTCTAATGCCATAGAAAAACCCTGTGATCCATGTCCAGAGTTCTTATCCTCAGGCATGGAAATTAAACTAATAAGAATGAAAAGAGTTGGGTACAGTGGCCCATACCTGTAATCCCAGCAGCTCTGGAGGCTGAGGCAGGAGGATTGTGAGTTCAAAGCCAGCCTCAGCAACGTAGAGAGGCTCTAAGTAACTCAGTAAGACCCTGTCTCTAAATACAAGATAAAAAGGGTTGGGATGTGGCTCAATGGTTCAGCACCCTTGGGTTTAATCCTCTGTACCAATAAATAAATAAAAGAATGAAAATAAAATGAATAAATGGTATTCCGAAGGGTCCATGATCCTCAGTGTCCCCTATTTTTACAATTCTGCCCACCTCTTGGAGCGTTAGCTTTTCAGATGGCCAACTCTCTTGCTGGGGAAGAGTCGAGGGTGCCTGGAACAGACTGCACTCACTCAGGGCTCCTGAATGGATGTGATGAGTGAATCAGGACTTTGTGGCTGTTGCTCTGATTACTCCCAAGACCCGGGTACCATCTACCATCTAAAATCTCTTTCCTAAACAACCAAATCCCTCTAACTTCTCCTTCTTAGTAACTTCTCTCCTTGAGACAAATACACCAAAACATGCACACTCCACCCAGCGGGTGGAATTTTCCAAAGGAATAGGGAAAGTCTCAAGTGAAGATATTCTGTGTTTTGATATTAGGATGGGTCTTTCAGAGATAAATGTCTGAAGCCAGGAAAAACAGCATCAAGAGGAAATAATGCATGTGCCGCCGCGTCGGAAACATACAGAATCCATGGGAACCCGGTGGTTGATATTTTTGAATTTCCTCTGTGTTAGCACAGCTGTGAGCTGGCAGCTGCAGGGCGGTGCCTTCCCAGGCCCTCTGGAGGGCCGCAGTCCTGGGCAGCCCTTGTTAGATGGCTGCTGCTTTCTCCTTCTGGTCCACACTGAGCTCCCTCCACAGGCTCCAGACACATTTGCAAGAGACACTGAGGATGAGCTTATGTTCACAGTTTCCAGACACCAAAACACGCTTCCCAGGGTTCTGGGTTCTTGATTGGCCCTTCCTGTTCACACCCTGCCAAGGCCTATGGGTGTGCAAAGACCTCATCCCCCTCTAGCCCTGCCCCACCCACAGAGTGCCCTTCAGCCTGAGATGGGTTTGACCTTTCAGACGTGAAGGTCAGGTCCATGCCAAGCCTGTGGTTCTAGGATTCTACAAGTTCACTGCAGAGTTCAGCCAAGAGACAAAGGGCTCATTGGAGAGGAACCCTGACCTTAAACACTGGGGTGGGGATGTAAAATCTAGACAGTGAAGGTTCAGATTCCCCAAGAACATGGCAGGGAAGCATCGTGTTGAGATGGGGAGGCATTTCTGAAAGTCTAGCTTGGAGGTTAAACCCCTAATTCAGGGTCCCTGCCGCTGTGGGTCAGTCATCTGGAAGGCACGGACACGTCTCTTGGTTTTCTGGTTAATCTGGCTTTCCCAGCTGACGTTCCCCTATTAGATCCAACTCTACCATGTTCTGCTGCTTTCAAATTTCATTTAAAACAACACAAGTTTCCTCTTCCTTCAAAAGTGTGCTGTGTTTTTCTGCGTGACAGTGGCCACCTTAGTAATGGCAGACCTGAGGCTGACTGCCGACTCCTCTCTGTCCCCGCAGCTACTCGCACCCCTTCCCCAGGTCCCCGTGGGCTGCTGGGGTCCGCTCTCCAGCTGCCTCCCCGGCCTCAGCTCCCCCACCCTGCCCTTCCTGCCGCAGGGTGGGTCTCCCGAGTCCAGATTCTGAGACTGGCCGTGGAGACAGGGAGTCCAACACAGGGGCTTCATTCTGAGGTTTCGAGGGAAATATCTAGAAAACCCTTGCTGGGTGCAGGTGCTGGCTGCTCGCTGTCGTGGTGAGGAGGACAGCGCTCACTGCTCCTGCACGTGCTCCCGGTCGGCTGCCACACGTAGAGCTGACCGGTGGCTTCAGAAGAAGCTGGCTGGAGAAGCAGGAGCCGGTGGCAGCTCGTCTCCCGCGAGTGTGCTCCGTGCTGCTGCTGGTGGGGCAGCATCGTGGCCGGCACAGGCTGCCATCGCCAGGCCCCCTAGACTGGGGCAAATGCAGGACTTTAGTTCTCCAGTTCTGGGCTCTCAGTCAAGGTGCCTTTAGAGTCCTTGGGCTGAGATGACCTGGTGGAGAAAGGGAGAGAGGGGAAAGGAAGGGCACTGGGAGGGGCGCTGCTCTCCCCGTCTTCTCACAAGGGCACTACCGCCATCCCGGGGCTCCACCCTCACGGCCCCATCTAACCCCGACCCTCCCACAGCCCCACCTCTCAGTGCCATCATGAGTCTGATGGAGGGACACAGCCTCCAGATCTCCTGGGCTCTGCACCTGCTCTGGGGCCTTCTCTGCTCCTTCTGCCTCAGGCTCCTCCCCGTGCCCTTGCCTGGTTCCCTGTGACCCCAAGACCACGGAGCCAGCCCTTCAGTTGCCATAATCATGGAAGAATTTGTCTTCTCCCCAGGAACTCCCCCGATGAGTGCAGCGTGGCCAAAGGCGGGAAGATGGTGGGCAGCCCGGACACTGTGGGGATGAACTACGGCAGCTACATGGAGGAGAAGCACATGCCACCCCCCAACATGACCACGAACGAGCGCAGAGTGATCGTCCCAGCAGGTGAGGTGCTCACGGCTGCGCTGTGGCCGGCACCCACGTCCTCCTGGAAGGGTGGGCGGGCGCTGCTGTGTGGGACCCCTGCTGTGGCCGTCGCCCTCCCTGGTCTGGGGTGGCCATGGAGAAGGGGGGGCTGCAGAGTTCATCCACGCAGGCCCAGGGCTCATGACTCCCCCAGAGCAAGGAAACGGGCAAGCCCACGTGCACACCCCGGCACATGCGTGTTGGAGTTTATGACGCGTGGGAGAGCCGCTGGCTTCCGACTCTGTCTTAAAAGTGTGCACACCCATATGGAAGGAGGGTTTCCAGGCAGGCACAACCCTCGGGCTCACACACACTCACGTGCACACACTTGTGCAGACGTGCATGAGTCCACGGAAGGCAACCTCCCCTCAGGGGAGCTGCCCTTCCCCGAGGTGTCTGTGTCAATCCCGTCTGTCAGGAGGTCTGGGTTTAACAGATGGCAGGCTCATTTAAAACACGTTCTCGTCCAGTACAATGGAGAGTGGGCAGCTACGTCCTGCACTCCGACACGCTCTTGGACGTCTGAAATTCCAGTTCTCGCTGGCCTGAAATGCAGACTGTAATAATCAGAGTGATTCTTTACCCCAGAGCTAATCCAAACTCAACCCAAGGAAGAGCTTTCTTGACTTTGAGGGAAATGCCCAGAACTTAGTCATTTAGCAAAACCACAGGAGAAAGAACGGCTTAAAGCTCCTGGGAGATCCAGGCTACAGAAAACCGGCACTCAGCAACACAGCCAGTGCTGAGCGAGCACCTTCTCTGTGCTCCGTGTCATAGGAAAGCGTCTGGGGCTGAGATGTGCAGACTTGGGAATGAGGATTCCCTGCTCCATAACTTCCCTGCTAAGAAATGATGCACAAGAAATGATGCTGACTAACTTTTCCAAGGACAAACAGCTGATAAGAGGCTGAGTCAGAATCCCCTCCTGTCACTCATTCTAGCCACCTGACCACCTTCAGATCTGCCACAGGCTCGGACTTGCTGTCACCTCACCCTAGAACCCTGGGTTCTAGGTCATGCTATACCTCTCTCCTCACCAAAGCTCTGAGAATATATAGCCTTCTGAGCCTGTCCCCACTGCTCCTGTCTGGAGTGCTCCCCACTGCACCCCGTGATGCTCAGTCCCCTGTCTGTCTGCTCCTTTCTTTCCCTCATTCTCATCTTTCATTATGTCATACCTCAGTGTGAAAGTTCTCTTGCTACCTTCCTCCCTCCCCAGAGGTGACCCTGGCAAAGACCCTGTCTGCAGGACTGAGCGCAGTGCCTGCATGCAGTAGGTGCTCTGCAGGGCCAAGCGTAGTGCCTGCATGCAGTAGGTGCTCTGCAGGGCCGAGCGCCGTGCCTGCGTGCAGTAGGTGCTCAGTGGATATTAACTGACACGGGGCACGGGTGGCTGCTGAGTGGCTCGGCATTACTCATTCCTGGTTGTCACCGTGGCAGAAGACGTGCGTGGTGACACATGCCCACACTCCATTTCCCTGTGCCCCGGGTTCCCCTGAATCCATCTCTGTGAGCACAGTACAGACAGGATCAAGGCCACCACGGCCTACTTACCCGTGCCCTGCATCAGACCTCACCAGGGGCTCCTGTCCCGTGCAGAGGTCCTGTGCTCGGGGTTCCTCCCCAGTTTGTCACTGTGTGGCTTTCCGTGAACTGCCTGAAGCTGATGTGAGGAGGTTTGGTGTGAGGGGACCGTCCTCTGGGTTACGCCTGACTTTGAAGCACATGCTGGAATTTATGGGAGACAGGGATGGTGCTGCCCGCTGCGTGCCTTAGGAGAAGGACAGAACCGTGGTGCTGGTCATTGGAAGGGGGCCGGCAGACATCCAGGGCCACCCATGCCAGCTGAGCTACTGCCCAAGACCTCCTGGCTCGCCACGTGCCTCGGCACAGGGTCAGTTCCCAGGGGATGGGAAAGACTGGCCACATGGTGTCCCAGGCCCAGGTGCCTGTCCTCGATGTGGTGCCTGAAAAGCGTTGAGAGAACCGTGAGCCTGGAGGGGGCTGGGAGGCCGGCGGGGCCAGACTGGCTGGGCACGGACAGGGTGGGACAGGGGGCAGTAGAACCAGAGGAAGCCCACCCGCCTGCTCCCCTGCGCCCGGCTCTGGGGGGACATCGGGCTGCTGCTGAAGCAGGTCCACTTTGAGTTGTTTAAGATGAGAGAATATCTGAGTGTCCACATGCTTCTGTCCCTTATAGAAGATGGAGGGGGATCCTGGAGTCCCTTTCACTGGTGAGGTTGATTTCTGTGATGCAGCTGTCTCCTTGGGGGGCATCAGACTTTGAGCCTTTCTACCTTTATTTCTTTGTAAACGATTTCTGTTTAGGAAAGAGGAGGTGTTTCTGTGGGGAAGCAGCCAAGAGCCAGGGTTGTCCTGTTGGAGCGCGAGCATTCCTGTGCATGGTGGGTGCTCACTGAAGGTGCTGGCGGGAGGGGACGGTGGCTCTGCAGATGAGCTGGGTTTGGTGCGAGGCTGCTTTTCCCCTGGGGAAGGGGCTCTCCTGCCCTCCCTCCCCCGGTTGCTTCACGCCAGCGCAGGCAGTTATTCAGTTAACCGTGTTTGTAAGAGAGCTAGCTGTGGCTGATTTTGCAAGTTGTGAGTCTTTCAGTTATTGACCAAGTTTCAGGTGTGTGCGTTCACACATGCACACACACGCTCACACATGGGCTTCCTTGCACAATCTGGCCAGTCCTCCAGTGTGGCCACAGGGTTGCAGGACCTCAGGAAGTCCTACGAGATGCGTCCCTGTCCTCTGGCTCCAGCACAGGCACCTCACAGGCACAGCTTGGGCTTGGAGGGTTCCGGTTCACAGAATTATCCAGATCCAGTTCTGTAGCGTCCACACAGCTCTTACTAGTTAGGCATGTTGTTTGGCACCCAAAAGTGCAAATCATAAAGACAGCCAAATGGGAAAAAGCACTTACTATTCCTAGGCATTTGTACTCTCCGTCAACTGCAGAGACATTCTGTCCTTCACCTCCTAGACATCAGAGTGGCCCAGATAGAGTCAGGAAAATGGGCGTGTGGACTGAGAGGTCACAGAACAGAGGGCTTGGGGCCCTGTTGGGGTCGGGATGGGGCACTTATATGTGAAACTCAGTTTTAAAAACTCAACTGAGGTTTTGAGATCGACTTTAATACTCAAGAGCTGTAAAGAATCCTACAAAGTATCCCTAATGAATAAAAACCTACTGTCATTTGATATATTTACACGGCCTCCTACTTCAGAATGAATTTAAGAACCTTTACGTAAATATACACCGAAGAGCACTGTAGAATCAGCTTTAAAATAAATAAGGAGCTGGGGTTGTAGCTCAGAGGTAAAGTGCTCGCCTACCATGCATGAGGCACTGGGTTCAATCCTCAGCACCACATAAAAAATAAATTTAAAAAAATTTTTAAAAAGTAAATAAGGAGCATGAATTAAGTCAGCATTTAACAGAGGGAAGCCAGGAGTGAGGCGCCTTGCACGTTGATACACGTGCACACACGTGGGCATCGCGCTGTGTCCACGCTCCCTGTCCTGCTGCGGGCACATCCCCAGCAGCCCCCTTGTGAACTGGGAGTGGACGGTGATCTGAACACGCCTGACCTGCTGCATGCCCTTGCTCAGCCTGGCCTTCCCTAAACCTGCCCAGAACTCTGGCCTTCGCTACAGCTGGGCAGAACCCTCTGGCACAAAGCCTATTTTGTAATGAAGCTTTGAACGTTTCCTGCAGTGACTTAAATGCTGCACAAACTCGGGGAGCACAGAGCAGCCCCCTGGCCCCACCTGGTGTCACCCTGAGCCCCAAGCTGACAAGCAGATCAGGCCCCTCATGAGGCCCGGGTCCCGTGCTCTCTGCACCTGTCCACAGCCAAAGGTGACCTGGTGCTGCTCAGGCACCTGACTTCCAGGTGCTTCCAGCTCGGCCTCCCCAGCTGTGAGCATGGATTAGAGAACTGAGAGCCGCAAACGTGTCATGAAGTCTCATCAACGCCTGAGCTGACAATGGGTCCTGTCCCCTGTGTGCCTCTGGGCACTCGTGGCGGTCACTGCTGATTTAGGTATAGACGAGGATGTGCCAACCAAGCGGGAGACGAAGAGGAAGGCTCCATCTTCACCGCTTCTCTCAAATGTTGCAAAATGCTGACCAAATGCAATCGGACCTCTGGCTTTAGCAGCTAAGAGCATTTTGAAATACTTTTCTTTTTCCCTGTGTTATTCTCCAAAGTGCGGAGCAGCCAACTTCTCCAGAGCTCTACCTTTTTTCTCTCACATTTGTACTTTCATTTTTAACTCACTCACTTTGGGCACAGGCCCCTGTGGTGTCCAGCAGCCTCAGGGACAGAGCGGCCACGCTCCCCTCTTCCCTACTTCTTCATCCTCTCACTCACGAGGACTTGCACCTGACAGTGTCTCCTGTGAGACCCAGAGCCCCTCTCCAAATACTCACGGCTGGAACTTTCTGAGCTGGCCAAAGCCCGTGGTAGCAGAGGAGACCCACCCCGACGTGGCGCAGGCAGAGAGGACGCAGGGTGTGTGGCTAAGACGTTCCAGACCATCTGAGGACTGCAGAGGGATACAACCAGAGGGCTCAAGAAGCTTCCTTGACACCAGCACCCCACATTCTAGGTCCCACACCGAGCCCAGGGTTCTCTGCCCCCCGTCCTGACCCTGGCCACGCTGCCTGCTGGGCTCACCTCTGCCTTCTCACAGCCCAGAGTCTTGGTCCCTGCTGTTCCTGCTGCCGCAATGCCCTTCCACCCTCTGGACTGACACATTCTTCAAGGCATCTTTGAGATTCACCCTCTCTCCAAGGTTGTGCTCAATTACCTCTGCCAAATTAACTGTTTCTCTTAGTGACATTGCCAATTCTTTAATTAACACACTTTATTTTGTTCATGTTGTGTTCTCTAATGAATATAGATACTTACTTATGTAAGAATATGCCATTTAATTCACAAGGGTTTGAGAAGCCTCAACTAAACTACTG